GCCGGATGAGGGTGTCGGGGGGGACATGGGAGCACCTAGGCGTTCCCCTCCCCCCCTACACCCTCCGAGAAGGAGGGGCCCCACCGGTTGCGGGTGAACTCTGACCCCTAGCGAGGCAAAGGGAGGTCGCGGCCGGGGAGGTCAGGAATGAGGGGGGGCCACGTGTCCCTGGCGGGCGGGCATTGCCCTCCCGTCCGGGGCGCCTGGGCCCCTCTCAAGGACGAAGACGTGATGTGTGGGGCCCTCTCACCGGGAGCCATAAGGCACCGGTGGGAGGGCAACACCGTCCACGGAAAGGGATTTCTCTCCTTCTGAGAGGAGCCTCCTGATGAGGGCCCCTTCAGTGAACCGCCGAACCGGACCACCCTCTTGGGGGTCCGGGGGATGCGACACTAGGGGGGCGAAGAGCGATGACTCGAGCGGGAGTTCTCGAGCCATGGCTCCGCCCCTCAAACTCTTTGAGAGAGCGCGGCGTGGGGTCGATGTCGCCCTGCGCCGCAACCGCGAAGAACCCGTACAATGACGGGGGGAGGGTGTCGCCTTCCGCGGCACTCTCCCAAGGAGGGATAAGGCGGGGGAGCGGCCAGACGGCATGGGATACCAGCATCCTGGCCGTCCCCTGTATAACGCCCGTGAAGGACATCCTCTGGGGTTTTAGTGCGGTAGATCCTGTCCCGGCTCTCCGGCCCGACGATCCCGACTCTCCGGCCCGCTACGGCGGACCGGCCAGGCGGAGGCGCGGGCCGGCCAGGCGGGGTAGAGAGTCCCACATAACTCCCGCCTCTACCCGGAGGCGGATGGTATCATGAGGTTTCCCCAGAGTAACAAAAAAAAAGGCACCCATACGGGAGGACAGAAGCCCACCCGATCCCTCAGGGGCACTACAGACTCATCCCTGTAGTGTACAGGTGTCGCAATCCCGAGGTACCCGAGCTGGAGTGCGTGAGATGGATGAACGAGGCGTGATGGGTGTGCAGACCCTAAAAAGGACTTGTCCACTGCACTAGGTGAAGGAAAACACTGACATAACACCCGGGGGGGAGGCCCCGTTAGCTGAGTAAGGCAACCTCTTAAGGGGAAGGAAAACCCCCGACAGAAAAAACCAATTTCTTTATTACAGATATGATGGTGTTTAATAAAGAAGAGAACGTCCTGGGTTCGGATACCAGGAAACGGCGTGGGGAGAGTGTAGGCCTGGCTCCCTCCATGTCGTCATCGTACGACAGGTCGTCTGCAGCTTTGCCGGCTGGGGCTGCAGACAGGACAGCTACAGTGCCGAGTAGTGAAAAAGACATGGTGCGCGAACGGTTACGTGACCTAGCTCGTAGCTGGGACGCTCGTGACTGTAGTGTTGATCCAAGAGAGCTTGCTGCGCGTATCCGCCGAGTTCTCCTGGAAAGGGAAGTGCGGAGGTACCTTGTGTTGAGCGAATACAAGGTACTTTCGTGGTATGCGGACGGCTTTTTTCGAAAATGTTCGCGGGGAGAGACGGACTTTTGTGCCGGACATGTGTGTGTCCAGTTTTTTGAGCCGGTGGTGCCCATTGACTCATCGGACTCATTAACCGGGGAAGTGAATGAAGTAGACAGTTTCTGTTCACAACCTCTTTGATCTCCGGAGATGGTGCGTGGGGTCAGTGGAGACGAAGACCAGCAGGCTGCGGGACCCTCTGTCCTCTCTATCTCATCCCCTTCCTCCGCCAAGGACGTGATGGATGTGGAGTGGACCCCACATGATAAGAGGCTCTTGACTGGGAGGAAACAGTACCCAGTCAAAAAACCAGGTAAGTCCAAAGCGCGAATTGAAACGCGGGGTCGCCCCAAAACGTCTGGGGATTATGCTGGTTTGGCCGAGGCCAAGGAGCGTCTAAACCGCGCAGTTGAGCGGGAGCTTCAACTGGCGGATATCCGCAGACTTTTGGATCCGGGTCTGGATCCTGAGCTGTCGGCGGTGGGCAGGGAAAACATCCCATCTGATAAAGCCTTCCGAGTGAGGCTCTAGAGTGTCACCAATCTGGAGCTCAAAAGGTTGGCAGAGTTGTCGGCTTCTCAAGTGGAGAGGGCGTCTGAGATCACTGGTCTCGATTCGATCGTGGCCAGGGACCTTCGGATCTCCTCGATGAGGCTTGAGAGCATTTTTCAGGAGATGGAGGGACGGATTGTCCTTGAGGCGGACCCCCAGATTGAAGCTCTTCGGAGCGAAAATCTGGGGCTTAGGGAGAGGATTTCCGCTCTTGAGCGGGAGCGCGACAGAGTAGCTGGCGAGATGGCTGCTGTTCGGGCTGTTCTCCCGCAGTTGGAGGAGGAGGCCTTCTATAAAGTCCTAGAGAAGGCTCCAAAGAAGAGAAAGCGAGCGATGTCTTTCCCGGAATTCACATTGAACGTGGCGGAACGTGAAAAGGTGTTGCCGGGGTCGCACTCTCTGACGGTTGCGGACCTCTCGGCTATCCTCGACAGGAGGCTTGCCGATTTGAGGGTCGACATCACGTCGGCGGTTTTGGCCAGCGTTAGGCCATTGCTTGCGGGGCAGCCTGGGGCCCCTCCAACTGGAGGGGCTCCCACGGGTGCGCTTTTAGCGAGCTTAGGTGGTGGCATTTGCGTGCCAGGGTCTGGTCCCGTGGCTGGGGGCTCCGCCGCTTCCGCTTCCGCGGAGGTTCCGGCGGATGTCCCTGGTCCCGGGTCCTCCAAGAAGGTTGGGAGGCGTCGTCGTAGGCGTGGGCCTAGATGTGCCTCCTCCAAAGATGGAGCTGCTCCTTTGGGCGCTTCTGCCCGGAAAGAGGAGAGGGTTTGTCCCCCCGCTCGGCCCCCCTCTAAGTCGGTGGTTTCACTGACGATTGAGGGGGAGGGGCGGGAGGAGACGTACGCTTCGGTCCTTTCCAGGGTCATGAAGGAGGTGGATCTGCCCAGTTTAGGATTTGCCGGCACTCGTTTGCGTCGTGGCGTTACGGGCAGTATCCTGGTGTCTGTCCCTGGGAAGGACTCTGTCAACAAGACGGATGTTTTGTCGGGTGAGCTCCGTAAGTTGTTTCCACCTGACAGCGGCGCGTAAGCTGGGAGTCGCGGGAAGCATTGATATGCGGTGGACGAGACTGACGGTTACCTCGTTGGCCCGTCGACCCATACAACGCTTCATATGCCATGCCTTTGGACACTCGTCCAATAGGTGTGGCTCCGGGGTGGTTCGCAGCGCTTGCTGCTTTAGGTGTGGCAAGGAGGGGCACTTGGCGGCTAAGTGTGAAGCCCCGCCCCATTGTGTTTCCTGTGCTATCGGCGGGAGGCGGGCGGATCACCGTGCAGGCTCGAGCGCCTGTGCTAAAAGGTTTGTCCCCCCTCGTAGGATGGATGGAGGTAGGGTAGGCGTCCCCTCCGGACGCGGGCAGACATCGGGACGTCCTGACGGCGGGTCTCGAGGTGAGGCTGTTAGTCCGGTACCGGGCCCCTCGAGGATTGGGGTGGGGCGGCAGAGTGTGTCGAGAGGCACATCTGTGGCTTCCTCTTGCGCCCCGACGGAATTGATGTCGGATTAGTGTTTGTCTAATGTTGTTATGTGGGCTGCGGCCATGCTGTTCCCCAGTAAAATGGGGACCTTTGGTCCGGTTACGCCCTGTCTTTGTTTTGTTTTCCGTTAGTAGGTAGCGGTGGGATATGAGGGTTTCGGGGGGGTAGCCGAAAGGTGACTCCGTGGTCCCTCTGTCCCGCCAAGTTTATGTTGTAGGTAGCGGCGATGGGTGATTGAGTGCTGGGGAGGTTGCCGAGAGGTGACTCCTCAGCCTTTTTCACCTACGCCAAGTTTATGTTGTCCTAGTTTTCTTGTCTTACGTCAATGGGTGGTGTGAACACCTCTCACCACCCTTTATCTGTGGTTGGCCATTGCGCCCTTGTTGTTGGCCCCCTTAGAGGGCTGGGCCTGTGGCCCTTATTTGGTCTTTAGACTGTGGTTGTGTATACATGTAGTGTACACGTCGAGTCTGTGATGTCATGTGACGTCTTTTCATGTGGGGTTTGGTGACTGCGGTCACCTCGCCAACCAGGCCGGCAGGGAGAGGAGTGGGGGCTCCAATTCCATTGCACGTTGGCCTCGGGATGGCCGGGGGTGAGCTGATAGCCCGGCTCACTCCTATTTACCCTCTCGGGGTGAGGGTATTGGACAGGCAACCTAGTTGCCAGGGGATGTATCCTTCACAGGATCAGGTCATGGGTGTCCACCGTGAAGTAATGCATTAGCGGTTCCGCGGTGGACAATACCCGTTAACGACCAGGGGCTATAGTCAGGTTTTAGGTCGGTACCCCGTCCGATAGTCCTTCAGGATACTACGGGCGGGAATCCACCACGAAGCCTCCTGGCCCTCCCTCAAGGGTCAGGACGCAAAGTTTGGTTTAGGCAAATTTCCTGACTTAAAAAAAAAAAAAAAGAAGCCCACCTGAAGGGACCCGTGGCCCTCTCCTCACTCTAGGCCCCCCCGGTTGCGACCTCCCTCCACCCCGTTAGGAGTCAGAGTTCACTCGCAACCAGGGGGGCCCCTCCTTCCTGGAGGATGTGGGGGGAGGAAGTAAAACCGGGTGTTTTGTCATTACCGAAAGATTAAAACGGCGTAGTCTGCCGCCCACTCGCAGAAGTCCATCCTCGTCGAGTCAAGGATTTAAATGCAAAATAGAACTTTTGCTATTCAGGGGGAGTTTATTTCTTAATAGCGCAATGTTTTTAGCAAACTTTAAGTCTTGCGCTCTTTGTAGCCAAAACCACTTTGCGTGAGCAATTTCACTGGCCGTCAACCATTTGTCTTGCGAACGTTGTGTAGATAAACAAGCATAATTAACAAATTTGAAAATAAAAGCAATCACGCGTAGCAATTTCGACCAAGTTGATACCTTGTCAGGAAGAGACCAAATTACATTCGGAGTATCTTCTACAGAAAAATGAGCATACTTAAGCTTACGCTGCTTTAAATCGACGTTAGATTCGACGTAAAGTTTGCTCACAGACCATTCGGAGGAAGAGCATCATAACCAGGACGGTCCCTGCCACCATAGACTATGTGAAATCAAATCAGGAGCGCTCATGCCACGAGAGGCACAATCCGCGGAATTGACCGCGGTGGGAACGTGTCTCCATGTGGCGTTCGAAAGGTTAGAGTGAATTTCAGAGACTCTGTTGGCTATAAACGTATGCCAGCGCGATGGAGTCGCGCACAACCATGCTAAAACGACAGACGAGTCTGTCCAACAATGAATGGGCACGTTTTCCAACTTCATCGCCCGCTGAACGAACACCATGGACCTAGCGAGTAAGACTGCAGCGCACAACTCTAAACGCGGCACGCTTAACACTTTGAGGGGCGCAACCTTAGTCTTAGCGTACAGAAGAGACACGTTTCTGAGACCCAGAAGAGATTCTATTCTGATATAAATGACGGCGGCATAAGCAGCATTCGACGCGTCCGAAAAGCCATGCAACTCAACGATTTGAGGCTCCTCTCCCCCCCCCCCAAGTTATTCCATCGGGGGATTGAACCTTACGTAATTTTACCAATTGAGAGAAGAACAAACGACACCGGGCTAATAACTCACCGGTGAGGGGCGTATCCCACTCCACCTTATTGAGCCAAAACAATTGAATAAGAATTTTAGCTATTATGGTTGAAAGGGACACCCATCCCATAGGATCGAAGATCCGTGCGACTAATGAAAGAAAGGATCGTTTGGTATAGGTCTTGGGATCCTCGAGCCGGATCTCGACCCTAAAGGTATCTTCACAGTGATGCCAGGAGATACCGAGAATTTTTAAAGTAGTAGTGTCGAACGTCTTACTTGTTGGCGCGGCCCGCTCTGATTCAGGGTTGTCGTCTACTAGTCGAGGATCATTGCTCGCCCATTTATGCGGTTTGAAACCACCCGCCATGAACATCTAAATAACCTGGTTGCGAGTTTGTTTTAAAAGAACGAAATCCTCCGCACCTAACATGATGTCGTCAACGTAGACATCGTTTTTCAGTACGGTAGCCGCGAGAGGAAATCTGTCTGACTCATCTCGCGCGAGTTGTTTAATGACGCGATTGGCTAAATAGGGGGCCGGCGAGGTCCCATAGGTGACCGTGAGAAGACGGTATGAACTTAGTGTCGAGGTTGGTTTGTCTCGCCAAAAAACATGTTGATATTCGACATCAGAGGGGTGCATCCGTATTTGTCTAAACATTTTTATAATATCTGTTAAGTATACAAACTTAGAGCACCGCCATCTTAGCAAGAGAGCGGGGATCTCCGCTTGGAGTTTCGGCCCTGTCAATAAGTGATCGTTAAGAGTGAAATGATTCGAAGAGACTCGAAAAGCATTGAATACAACGCGAATCTTAGATCCTTGATCTGACCTTTTAAAAACCGGGTGGTGCGGCAAATAAACCTTTTGGCAATCATTATTGTCCCCAGGTTCCACCTTCTCCATGTGATGGAGATCTTCATATTCAAACATGAAGTCAGCGTAAGCTTTTAATAAATCTGATTGATTCTGATGTCGCTTCTTATTAGATAAAAAAATATGCTTGGCGATATTCTCCGTCTCACCGATTGGTATGGGAACCTCTAATTTGAAAGGTAGTCTCACGACGTAACAGCCATCCGATAAACGATAGTGAGTAGAAAGGAAGTGAGCCTCGCACCGTGCATCCTCCTCCGAGGAGGGGGTGGCGTGGAATTTCTTCTACTTCCCAAAAATCGCGGAGGGATTCGTTCAAATCCGCATCCGCTTGAATGTGGTGCACAGAAAGATTCGAAGCCTCGAAAGTTGTGTACCGTGTTTGGCCGGATAAGATCCAGCCAAAAATTGTAAATTGCGCCAAGGAATTGCCGGTTGCCCCGCGAACAAGTCCATCGCGCAAAATCTTACCGTAGTAATCTGCACCGATAATTAAATCGATCGGTCTCTTAGACGAAAGGTCCGGATCGGCTAACGGTAAAGTTTTTAAATAAGCGCAATCCTAATCAAATGAGACTGACCTTGGAATATAAGCAGAGAGCTTAGGCAAAACAAGTGCATCCATTGAAAGCGCAGGGCCCTTCCTGTTACAAGGTTCGACGGAAAAGGATACAATACTTTTCGCAATTTTCGTTTTGGAGCCGGCGATGCCGGAGACATTGACCGAGACCGACTTCCGCTCGGCCTTGATTGCCTGAGCGACGGATTTACTAATAAACGACGCCTGTGTTACGTCCAACAATTCATCTAGCGATAAATTATTTTCTGCACAAGACGGTCTTCTCTCGCGTCTACCTCAGTGGACGTTTAAGAAGCTGCTCTCTATTTGTTTTATGGGCAACCTGCTAGGCCGGCTATACCCAGGGAAGCCGAGAGCTTGAGATTCGATTGAGAGTATCGGACGGAGAAGGAAACTGACGGGTCGGGTCGATAAATAAAGATATTTTACAATTATAATGTCATTTATTTATTTATAAAACCTTTACGTCGATATAAAGTTTATTGGTCCTGACGTGGTTCGTGGGGAGCTTGAAATTGAGTTACAATATTGTTAGGCTCCTGTACAGAAGTGTTAGGCTGAATGAGGTAAGTAATAAAAGAAGTAAGGTCGTCCTGAGTTTCCTCTGAGATGAAGTTACGAGTGCCGTCGGATGTGAGGTTCACGGTATCCTCGTCAAGAATATTGAAGTTTTGTTCGTGATTAAATTGTAAGAACGGATCGTATTCAGACGGTGTAATTTGTTGGTTTTGATCCGGGATATAATATTCAGGATCGGGTAAGAAATGATGATTTGGATTCGTTATTAACGTATTTGATTCTAACGGTGAAGGCTCCGGAAATTGCGGATGAGAATAGTCAATGTAAGAGGGGATATTATTAATTGGCGAGTAAGCGTCTGGAGAAGGGGATCGTACGATTATTCGTGTTGGATAAATTTGGACATGTAAGTTTAAGACTCTTCTTGTCCTACGTTCGCGTAGTCTGTGGAGACGTTGCTCGTCGCGATCAATTTGATTCTTCCTTCGGAAGGGAGAGACCATCTAATGGTTAAATAAATTTATATGAATAATATGTTTAATAGAACTGAGATAGTTAAATAATCAAAGGTAATTGAATGTGACTCACGTTTAAGTCGTGATTTACGTGTTAAAGAGTTAGAGACGAGATGAAAGGTTAATCTATACGAGAATGCCCTTCACCTGTTAATTAATTAAGCGTTGTGTCAATTATAAGTATAATTAAACGATACTGAAAGAGAATTGGTAATAATGTGGAATAGGAAAAGGAGTCTTAGTACATATATTAATATCTATATCAAGAATATTAATATTTGTATTTTCAAGCATCAAAGATTTAAGTCTTAAATATTGAAGTAATAATTCTTAGTAATTATCAAGACCTCTGTCATTCGGTTTGGTAAAGTATTCGCAACTATTGGAAAATGCAAGGTAATAAAAGCGTAAAAGCGATAGAGAGATAGGTGTTCATCCGGCTAGGCCGGGTTCTCTGGTCCTTGTCTTAATAGGCTAATGCGACGTTCACTTTACTAAACGTGCACCTCAGAGATGACTTGCGAATGTACCTTATGACAGGGTATATTTCTATTGGTTGTAAATAGGGTCAGATGGTGTACACTTGTCAAATGAATCGAATATCAATATGCAAAATCACTGTCAGTTGGTGTGGTAAAGTATTCGCAACTATTGGAAAATGCAAGGTAATAAAAGCGTAAAAACGATAGAGAGATAGGTGTTCATCCGGCTAGGCCGGGTTCTCTGGTCCTTGTCTTAATAGGCTAATGCGACGTTCACTTTACTAAACGTGCACCTCAGAGATGACTTGCGAATGTACCTTCTGACAGGATATAGTTTCTAATGTGTACAGAGGAATTAGCGGCATTCAATTCGCTAATAAGTGGTAGGATACAGGGTTACATACATATATAAATAAGCAGTGATATAATAAAATACATAAGTATATTTATTATAATAGATTGAATAAGTATGCGATATCGGTTAAATAATATTGAATAGTATTGGATAAAATATTGAATAGATCGACGATTGTAACGCAGACGTGTGCAGATGCAAACCGTAGATTAAAATAATATTGGAAACGCAGAGTAATATATGGCTTATGTCTATGTTCAAAATTCAGAGTTTGGAATGTAATGTAAGATTGAGTTAATATTGGATAATTAAATATAATGATTAAATATAATGAGTGTCCGTCGCGCTTTACTATTTAGAGATATGTGAACTGGCTTAAATACTCACAAGGTTAGACAATGTCTTATGTGCCTTGCTATGGTACACTTCGCTACTGTGTTCTTCCCTCTGAGTCTGAAGATCTGAGGAGCCTCGGTACCTCGGTCCGAAATGGCGGCTATGCCTCACCAAAATGGCGGCTATGTCTCGTTGTCTTCAGGAGCTCCGTAGTAATAGCTGGTTGATTGCTGGATTAGAACTGATTGACTGGAACAACTTTCGGCGGATCACTCTTGAGTGATGGATGGCGAATTCACTGCCGTTCCGTGCCGGGCGCAGGGTTTATATACCGTAAAATGTGGCTCGCTCCTCCCATCGGGCGATGCGGCTTAGCCAATGGCAAGAGAGATATGCCGGGGAAGTACCGGAGACAATCTGTTCCTGGTAGAGATTGCGACGGTTAAGTCCCGGAGAGATGGCTTCTTGGTAGCGATAGCGGCGTTCCTTTGATGACTCATCACCGGGCGCTCCGACTTTCCTTATCCTATTCTCGGTAGCGATAGCGGTGTGCCTTTGTTGGCTATGCGCTCCGACTTATCTTATCTTCTTCTTAGTAGCGATAGCGGTGCTTCTTTGATGACTCATCGCTACGCGGCTTGCAACGGCCTTGCAGGTTGCAACGTGTTTCAGCGTTGCATCATGCTTTGCGTCATGCTTCAGGAATGTAACGGTTCTCAACCGTCTTTCTAGAACCTTCTAGAATCTTTTAGATGTTTCTTGAGAGTAAAGCCGAGTTCACATAATAAAGCGGGTTTCATACCTAATTACTACTTTTCAAGCGATATATATATTTTAGGTATTGTTCTCCAGAATATGTCGATTCCCTTTGCGTTTTGAAATAAAATGCATTACTTCGTAAATTTTGTTATGAATTAAAATAATCATGATGGAAAGTTAAAACTTATCAATTTTCATTTATATTCCATAGTTACATGTAAATTGATAGATAATTTGTGTCAGGAACGAATTTCTAAATTTTCTAGTATTTTATATCCATCATTTAAAAATTGTGATGGACAAATAAAACTTATCAATTTACATTTACATTTCATAGTTATATGTAAATTGATAGATAACTCGCGTCAGGAACGGATTTCTAATTTTTCTAATATTTTATACTTATGATTTGAAAATCCCGATAGACGGTTAAAACTTATCAATTTACATTTACATTCCATAGTTATATGTAAATTGATAGATAACTCGCGTCAGGAACGGATTTCTAATTTTTCTAATATTTTATACTTATGATTTGAAAATCCCGATGGACGGTTAAAACTTATCAATTTACATTTACATTCCATAGTTATATGTAAATTGATAGATAACTCGCGTCAGGAACAGATTTCTAATTTTTCTAATATTTTATACTTATGATTTGAAAATCGCGATGGACGGTTAAAACTTATCAATTTTCATTTATATTCTATAGTTACATGTAAATTGATAGATAATTTGTGTCAGGAACGAATTTCTAAATTTTCTAATATTTTATACTTATGATTTGAAAATCACGATGGACGGTTAAAACTTATCAATTTACATTTATATTCCATAGTTACATGTAAATTGATGGAAAACTCATATGGAGAATAACGTATTAATTTTGTGCTATTATACCGTACTTGCGGCTACATATGACTTATCGGTTATTCGCCAAC